ATAGAATCTTCATGGGCCATTACAAGATTCTCAGAATTTTGTCATGTTTCTGGTGTTCACCAATGTCTGCAACATCTAAAGAGTCAGTGCTGTTTTGATACTTGCTTAAATTAAAGCACCACAATAATGGGGAGGAGAGTTACTAATTTGACAATATTCTTAAGATATGGAAGTTTCATTATTTAAAGAGTGAGGAATTATAGTTCTTTGGATTCTGAATCGCACTAAGAAGATACTTAATTTTTATTTTAAGAATTTTCTTCATGTGACTAAGACAATGGAATATTCTTTAAATGTCATCCACGTTCGTGCTGACTGAATACTTTAAAAATATTCTAAAACCTTGCATTGTAGCTACACGGGAGTATTGCTCCAGACTGACAACTAGGCCATGATTTATTACAGGATCTGCTTTTAACATTATTTTGTCTGGAATGAACAGAGTGGTTGGAGAAACTCCATCCATCTTTTTGTTTATTTGACATTTATGCCACATTAAATGTACCTTAAAGGAACAATACATAAATAAGAAATTCTATTTAACAATGATGATTACTCATCAGTAACATAAATCTCTTGACAATAATACAAAAAGAATCCTGTCAAACAATGTCTATTAAAATTTAAATAATGCATATTTCTTAACCTGAACAAAGTTTTATAGCAAATATTTTAGTTTCGTTTTCTTTTGAAGATTTAATATTACAAGTGTGATTAAGTTCTTCATTTTCAACAAAATTATTTTTCAGGTTTTACTTGTTCTAGCCCAGTCACTGATTATGATATGAGTAGAAATTGAATGTGCCTTTTTTAGTTAATGTTTATTAAAGAAATGAAAAGATACTGAGAAAATAAAGATACATTTTGTGCTTTCATGCTTTTGGAAGAATTATTATTTTTTTAAGTAATTTGGAAGAGTGAGGGAGAGAATAGACTAGTTAAGGTAGGAGAAATAACTTGGCAGCACTGTGAAATTTTTTCTCAGAATATTATAACATGAATGAAGAATCTCTGCCCTAGGGTTTAAAGCTGAATAGTAGTGTATAAATTAGACATCATTCATTATCAACAAAAAATTTCTTATCTTTTTTTTTTTTTTTTTTTTGAGACAGAGTCTCGCTTTGTTGCGCAGGCTAGAGTGAGTGCCGTGGCGTCAGCCTAGCTCACAGCAACCTCAAACTCCTGGGCTCGAGTGATCCTTCTGCCTCAGCCTCCCAGGTAGCTGGGACTACAGGCATGCGCCACCATGCCCGGCTAATTTTTTATATATATATCAGTTGGCCAATTAATTTCTTTCTATTTATAGTAGAGACGGGGTCTCGCTCTTGCTCAGGCTGGTTTTGAACTCCTGACCTTGAGCAATCCGCCTGCCTCAGCCTCCCAAGAGCTAAGATTACAGGCGTGAGCCACAGCGCCCGGCCAAAATTTCTTATCTTAACTGCTTATTTATTAGGCTTAGTCTCAAATTTATTTATCTGGAATTTTGATTTTTTTATTTAGTCTTACAATTATTAAATACAGACTTTGGATTGATGGGAGAATAGTGCATCCATTTACTATTCAATGAGCATGCTTTTTAATATTAGACAGTTACCACTATGCCACTTGCTAACCAGTTGATGTTTTCAGGAAGACAAACCATGATAGCACATTCCTCCCTAAATTAGTGTTTAGCTTTATAATTGTCCCCAAATAACTTGAATCTGTGTTTGACTTGGGTACTTAACATTTATTAAACTAGTATACACTACAAACTATATTGTGTTCCAGGTTTCTAATTCTAAATTCTTATTGCTCATGAGTAGAGATCAAGATTGATTCAGTTAGTTGTTCCATCTTAGAGATTTCTTGGTATCGTTAATCCTAGCAGTTGTGGGCTGTTTAGCTACATAACAAATACTACTGGAAAACTCTTTCCAGGCTTTACAAATTATAGAGTTAGATGGTGCTTGTCTTAGTCAACATTTCACACAGGCCATTTATCTAGTTTCTCATGAGAGGAGCATAGTAAGAATGGAGTAGACTGCTCACACTCAGTCCACTGTAGGAAAAGTACTTCCCAAGTAATTGCCTTAAGGAGAGAGGAGAATAAAGGATCTTCCTTACTAGGATACCTTTTAACAAAAGAGAAGACTGCTATTGTGCTAACTTTTGGTTCTTTTACAAGACAAAAAACTATTTTATTTGTGAAAGTTTGTTGCTTTCATTCTGGCCTTATCTATTTAAGATGATAGTATGAATGAAATTATAGCATGTAAGGAGGAGACTTTTACAAATTGGATTGACATTCATAGGTTTGTATGTAAAAGCTAAAACCCATAGAAAGATTCTAACTAACCCAAGCACACAAAAATAACTGTGACCTGTGATTATAACTAGGTTTCTTCAGTTTTATTCTAGTCTTTTTTAGTTAGACTTCATTATGTCTACTAACATTTCAGTGTACTATAATGTATACTTAAATATTTTTGAAGTAAAAAGTGAATTTAGAATTCCTTTTCTATGTTCAATTCCATTTTCTTATTTTGTGTGAAAACTAAGGTCTAGTAACTTGCCTAAGGCTTTTAACTAGGTTAAAGATACAGTTTAACATTACCAGGTCATTCAAACATGTTAGTGGCAATTTGTCTAGCTAGTAATGGAGTCATATTTTTGAAGTGTGCATTCTAAAAATACCCAGCTGGATGTTGTGGAATTCCTTTCAAGCAAAGTACCAAACAATGGACTAAGTGTTCATATTCAGTCTGTTCTTAAAGTACCAGGAATTATTCTTTGAGTCACATGTTGAGTAGGTTGGTGTGTCATTTGAACCTATTATACATGTAATCATGTAAAAGCGAGGCTGCTCAATGGGTGGGTTGCTCAATGTTTCCAAGGTTTCCAAGATAGTTTTTCCATCAGTAAGTAGTGAGTATGTTAATATGTGTAATGGCACAGAAATCTCTCATTCTTTCACTGGATAGAATGTTGGATATCAACAGTTATTTGGTATTTATCTAATAGTGATATATATTTAGTAATATTGAATTTTTTTAAATATTAGTTATGGCAGTTTATGTATTTATTTATTTGGGAGCTTTTTTTAAAGTGGGAAATTGCTGGAAATAAAGCAAGTAAATAGGGTTGTGTCCAATTAGGTATGTCATGAATTTCCAGCTCTAAATTAAATTCTGGTAGAGAACAGTGATTTTTTTTTAATCCTTTATATGTATATCTGCTCTGAGTGATTACTTAATGGTAGGGAATGCTACCAGATTATCTGTCATCCTGTGTTCATACCACTTCCCCCTGACCAATACTCCCTACCCCCAGTCACTACATAAAATTCACGCTAACTTTTGTAATTGCTCAGGTTTTACCTTGACTCCCTCTCCCTCTGATTACATTCCTTGGCCATTTCAGATTAGGATTGGTCAACCCTAGTCATCTTCTCAAGCCTGAATTATTTTTTCTTTCTACATACCTGTTTGGATACATTTGTTCAACTAATTAGCTTTGGGAATGAAGACCTCACAAGTTGGTGCTCCTAAATCAGTTTATTCCTCCAAGGTCTAACCATGCATTTTCAATAAGGGCAATGTCATCCTAAAGGGATAAAAATTTGGTCATTGAGGAGTAAAAGTGTCTTACTTATCTCACTGGTTTTTAGGTGTAAAGCATAGGTGTGCATATGGTACATAGACATAAATGCAGTACCTCCTTGGTTGTAAAATTTCAAAGGTGCAATTAGGAAAAAAAATGCCTAAATAGTTCCTTAAAGGACAACAATGAAAAAAAATAATGAAAGCACTGTTCTACACATAGGTAAGCAAATTTACATTCTTTCAGGATATTTCTACGTGGATATTATTAGTGCTTTAAACTTACCTTGTTCAGAATTGAAACAACTATCTTCTTTGCTCACACCACCCAAATCTATTTCTCATCCTTTCAGACTTGTGGAAATTAACAGCATCACCTGGATTTCCAGGCCCGTTGGTTTCCATTATCTCCATTCCCAGGCTATAACCTCAGTGTAGGCTGCCCTCTTTCCCTGCCTGGATTATTGCCATAGTTTTTTAAATTACTCTTCATGCTTCTGTTACTACCCTTGTTCTAATCTTTTATCCACACTGCACTGGAGGGAGCTTTCTAATATGTATATCTGGTCATCTCTCATCCAGCTTAAAAACATCCATTGCTTCAGAATCAAATCCTATTTCCATTGCATGACATACCTTTCTTTTTATTTTCTGGTCTCTTCAGATTTCTATCTTTACACTGTCCCTACTTGCCTTCCCTAACACATATACACTCTTATTTTGGAGTCACTCAGCCTCCTCAGATGTGCCATATCCTTCCTCATCTGTAGCGCTTTTCATATGCTGCTGCACGTGCCTGTCATACTGCACTTTTCAATTTTCTCCTTCCCTTCCCTAACCCCACACAAATTTTCTGTCTTCAAAGGTTCAGTTCCAATGTCACATCCTTGTAGATGTACTTTGTGATTATTTTTACTACACTCTTTTTCACACTAGGGCAAATGAATATTTTCATTTGTTTTTTTTTATTTTTTTATTTTTTTACTGAGCAGCTTCTTGAAGAAAGACTCTTGTTTTATTTGTTGTTATATCTCCAACTACTATAATATCTATCTAGTAGGCATTCTATAAATATGTGCAAAATGATAGATGGATGAATGCCCAGGGTTTTAAATCTATTACATAGACTTTCAGTTTATTCTATTTTTCTAGGCATTTCATCATATATTTCCCCATAAAAAATTGCATACTAGATTTGATTAAATTTATCCCTTTGTTATAAATATTAATGATTTTAACCAAAGAAGAAGTAAAAAGTACTTTTTCAACTACTTAAATATTTGTTTTTCAAAAGTGAAATTAACTAATTTATAACTTTTATTTCTTATCTACAAAATATAGTATTAACATTATTTAAGTGGGCAGATTATCGACATACTTTTTTGACTTTGTGTTTTCTCTCCCTCTCGTTCTATTTAGCTAAAGGACACAAAATCAGCAGATCAGAAAACAACACTACTTCATTTCCTGGTAGAAATATGTGAAGAAAAGTACCCTGATATCCTGAATTTTGTGGATGATTTGGGACATTTAGACAAAGCTAGTAAAGGTTTGTACTTTTATTCAGTTCTAAAAGACAGAAAATAATGCATTGAGTTTGTACATCCTTTCTACTTTGTCACAGTGTTTTCATATTGAATATTTCATTTTAAAAATAAAGTTGTAGGGTATTTATTTTATGAGTTTTCATGATTGGAGCTGTGAGTTTCATTTGTTTGGTTAGATAATGAGGCCTTATATTTGAAAACACTTTTTTTGTAGTTTAAACCTATGGGTGCCTCATGGCCCCACTCTCTGCTCCTAAACCTCCTCCACTGTGGCCAGGGTGATGCTCCCTTGATTCAGTGTCATTCACAAACACTGACTGACTACTGTGTACCTGAGCCCAAGACTCAATATTTCATACAAACACATGCACCCAACAAAAGAAAGCATAACATACTTTTATCTCAGGCACCCACAGGGATCACTTACCTATCACTTGAGCTAAGGCTATTACAACCTCCAGGCAAGTTGTGACTTCAGTGACCTCACAAACAATCCTTTGAACTCCATCCACCCATACTTTAAGTTCCATGGTGCACCAGCCATTCACAAAAGGACTCTGAGAATGGTCATCAGGGTATCAGGTCATGTCTCTGGCTACAGGAACATGGATGGAGAAGGCAATCATTGTCCCGCTTTAGCCACCATTTCCAAATCTATCTCTGCCCACCTTGTAGGTGGAGCTCTCTTTCTTTGTCCTAGTAGATACCAAACTGCCAGAGTTTTGATTCACCCCTTCTTAGTGCCCAAATTGCTAACCTGGTTCTAGTCCATACTGTGGCCTCAGTTGTAAAAGGTCATAGAAAGGATAGGACCTATTATTAGTACTTGATTATAATATGATTTAAATATAATTTTTTGGCACCTTAAGAATCCAATTTTCATTTCACATTGATTCTATAGAAACAACTTTACTTGGCTACAAGCAATCAATTTATAAATGCATTTTAGAAAACAACTCATTTGGAATGGTGGAGTATCTTCTTTTTGTATTGACCACTACTCATTGATATTGTCATCTTATTTTTACAATCTCATTATTTCCTTTTTAATATTGGACTTTGTCAACTTAAAGTAGGACTTTTTTTTCATATAAGAGTGAATATTTTTTCTTGAAAAATATAATTATTTCCTGCTCCCTTTAAATTGTTGTTCTATAAAATGGGGATTGTAGCACTTGATCAGCAAAGAGAAATGTGATTGGATGAGATGTTTTTTGAAACTGTTCTGAGATGTATGATTCTTTGAAATATATATTTCATACAGCTTTTGGGGGAAAAAGTTGGAAATAATTAGTCTGGATTTTTTATTAATAAGATCAAAAATAAGCTTCTTTATTTTTCACTACTAAATCTTAATGTTCTAATGATAATGAATTACTTACGTTGTCCCTGTGCTATTTTAAAATATCCTTGATATAAGAAGAACATGTGTATATATATCATAGATGTTTTAATGGAATTTAAGAAACAAAAATAATTGAAATTATTACAATAATTATTTTGTATTGAACCATGTGGGATAGGTCAGAAAGGCGTTGAAATGAATGGGGTAAAAACATTCAACTTGGTAATGTCCAAAATAGCTTTTAACTGATTGGTTCATTTACTGAGGAAAATCAAGTTTCCTAAAGTGAGAATTCTACAATTTTGGAATATTTGAGCAAATATTATGAAAACAAAATTGAAAATGGGTGTTCTTGATGGATGTTAAGTTTGATAAGTAACAGAGTAGTGGATGAAAAAGTGGTAAAAATTGCCTTGAAATACAGAGGGTGTTCTTTTTCTGGGAAAAAGATGGTTGAGTCATAGATTATATCAACATTAGGACTTTAACAAGAATTAAAGCAGTGCAAGTATTTTTAGATAATGACAGTTTGCAAATGATCAGTGCACTATTTTTCATACTAGTTCTAAAACTGAACACTTCTAAAACCGAACAGTAAGCTGGAACATACTTTGCTTTAGATGTATTTTTTAGTGTAGAATTTATTTTCTAGCAGTTTTTACTATAACTTCAGTTTTTGAAATATTTATCTATGTTGACTCATTTGATTATACTTAAAATTCTGTATAAATATTATATTTTGCTTTTTAAAAATATTTAACTTTCATAAGGACTTGCAGAGTTGTAAGTTGGTAATTTGATTCTTCTGTTTGTTTTCTTTTTTGGTGTTTCAGCAGAGCGTTCTGGGGCCTTGGGGGTTTCTGGTTTCCATCTGTTACAGTGGAGGCTGGCGTATGTGTATGGGTCACCAGATACCGTTAATATGTTTCTCACGGAGCAGCCAACTTCATATTTAAAATAGAAAAGCCATCACTGAGATATTTTTTATAATGTAGGTGATTATGGAGCAGAATTTCTTTTTCTGATTATATTGCTCTATTAATGAATGAGATATTTAGGAGTAAAGTGTTTTGGATAAAATAGGTCTATGTTTGCTTTGGAGAATTTCAGTGTTTTTATATATCTTCATTTAAAAATTTCCAGATTTGAAGTCTCCTCAGTGAGCTATCACATGAATTAAAAAGTACCTTTGTTTTTGAGACATAACAAATCCTGGTCATTAGGCACTCCTAGATCAGCAGGGGGCACTTTCATTGCATCTAAGGAGCTTACCTGTATGACAATTTTCAAAAATCTACTTCATTAGGACTGCTTCTTTTCTAAGAGATAATAGCTTACAGCTTTTCTGTTGCATTTCAGTGAAAATATTTTGGGGTCATTATCGCATTTCTGTATACCACTGTAATATTTCTTTCTCTTATGGACTTCTAGGGGTAGATTCATTTTTCTTTTCTCTAAACAGTTAAAATTGACTCTAATCTTTAAAAGTTTTATTGGTTACTTCTCAATAATCTGTTTCATTATAAAATTGGAATGCTATTTTGTTAATGATTAGAAAATATGACACATTGACTTTTTGTTTATTTGGGGTGGTATATTAAAATAAAACTTAGGTAGTTTTACAGCATCACCTTAGCACTTTTTAGGTTTCTAGTAGTTCTACCATATATTTCCATTCTTCCCTAATCAACTCTGAATTCTAGAAATGCCATGCTAGTCTAGTCTGTAATTCATTTATTCACACATTTATTTAATAAGCCTATGTTGAGGGATTACTCTGTGTCAGGCATTGTGTTCTTGTCTTGCTGTTGGTCCAAGGTGTAATTTCTGTGTCTTAGTGCAACTCAGTCTACCTTGCTCACATCTGGCTTCTGGTCCCACATGGCTCTTGCCTCTTACTCTCAATATCCTTTACTTCCTCCGTGCAGTCTGTGTATATTGCTTTTGTTATTTGCCTAATACTGAGTCTTTTATTCTTCCTATGTCTTCTCCTTAAATGATCTCTTTAATTCTCAAGGATTTAACTACCAGCATTACATTAATGACTTACACCTAAAATCCCAGACTTTCCTTCTAAGATCCACACTTGTATATCCAGCAGGTCTTGCCACTTCCATTGCATCTCAAATAGGTATTAGAATCGTATTTTGCCATAAAATGGGACTGATGATTCTTACAGCCTTAACTTTATCTTCTAAATTTTATTTACTTGAGAAAATCCTTCTTGGCTTCCTTTCTTTTCTCTCAGTTTGTCATGTCTCTTTATAGCCTTCAACACCTCCACTCAGAGCTGCATGTTGGATTCTGCCTAAGTTAAATCTATGGGAAGTGGCAGCTGTGATGTAGAACCTTGTCTAGTTTTCTCCTTCATCAAGGAACTTAAAAGTAAATGTCACCCTCTCTTGTGTACTTTTTCCTGATGCCTACTGGGAACCTCATCTAAATTTCAGCATATTATACTCTTTCTTTAAGAATAAACTCATAGCTGTCCCAGAAATACTTATACCAGCACTTAAGAACTGCTGCTCTAGACCAAGGATTATCCCTGGGACTGCTAGGAATAGAATTCACTTCTAGAAAAAGAGCAATATAATATGCAGTGTATTATCAGAGTGGATTCAATGATTGCCTGTTTTTAATTTTGCCACTCTTTTTTCCTGTTTCTATACTTTTAGCTTTCAGGATCATTCTTTTATAACCTAGATTTGATTATTTCTTATCTCCTCCATTTTATATACTTCTTTCTGATTTTAAGACTCTATTTATATGGTTTTCAGTTAGCAATTCCTTGATTTGACCCAAATATTTGTCTGCTCAACTACATCTCCTGTTTTCCGGTTCCTCATGCATTTTCAACACTTTATGATAAATGCCTTACTAAATACCAAATGTTTATCTTTTATTCACCTACTGTGAGTGCTTAGAACACTTAATTTCCAGGTGGCTGCCACCTAGAAACCACATAGTGTTTGAAAATTTCAAATTCATCTGCTGTAACCAGCAGACATGTTAACCTCCTTATCACTATAGCCTTCCAAAAATGCCAATTAAAATTTAGTTGTTTGATATGTCTTTTGAATATTCAGTATCAGTTATTGATACAATTGCACTTTATATCCCCTGCAGCAGAGTCGACAACATAGCTAAAATTGTGTTATTTTGAACCACTACATCATAGAGGTTGTAGGTTGGAGCCTCGTAACTTGTATGAGATAAATTAATTCAGCTGGTGTTTCAAATCAATGGTAGGATATTAGAGTTTTATGAAAAGATACTTTAGTTTACACATTTCTGCCTATATGATGGAGTAAAGGCACATTGAGAGGGCACATTGTTGGTTGTGGAAGTATTTATGATAAAATAATTTAGTTATGGAAGACAAACATATGGGATATTGCTTTTATTGAATTCTCAATAAAGAACACAAAAATGTATTCTAACTATTATGGACAATGTTGCGTCTTTCATAAATTCCTATGTTGAAGCCCTAACTCCCAGTATCTCACAATCTGAATATATTTGGAGATGGGGCCTCTAAGGAGATGATTAGTTAAAATGAAGCTTTTAGGGTAGGCCCTAATCCAGTCTGACTTGTGTCTGTATAAGAAGAGGACATTTTTAACTAACAGCCATTCAGGGATGGACTTGTACAAAGGA